CTGCAGTTTGCATCTTGTAGCTCATTTTCAGATACGATAAGCCGCAAGGTACAAAAACATTTTACCAGCGACCATTGGTTTTAAAATACGGCCGTTTTCTGACACAAACAAAAATTGATGGGAAATGGATAAATGGACTGGATAATGGGATCGTGTTTGTCGAAATGCCTATCGAAAACCCTCAAAAAGTAAAATCTTTTGCAGACAATTTTTGTCACTTCTTGGAGGAAATGTCTGGTGCGTTGTACCTTCAAATCTTAACAGTAGCGTATTTCAGTTCTTGAAAGTTGTTCGCATTTCTGAGTATCAGCAGCTGTTTTTCGGTTTTTGTGAGCATATGCAAAATCTGGTGCTGGAGCAGGAGAAAAAGACTGGTCGCCGGTCTCATGTCATTTGCATATTTGATCTGAAGGGAAGTCCTGTTGTACCGTATCTGAATCCCGTCGGAGCCGTCAACAAACTCATGATGGTTTACTTTATTTTATTGCTGCTTTTTACGATTATTCGGTTTGAAATTCAAGTTGACTTATGCATATTTGCCATATGATTTTGCCATTTTTTTTTGTCGCATATGCAAAAAGTGCATTAAGAAAATATAAATGGTTAACAACTTGGACCCTGTCTGCAGTGCAGTTCTTCAAATTAAAAAAATTCAAGCAAATATTACAGCCCAGTTTAGCTTTTCAAATGAACTGTGTTTTCTGCGTTTTCTACTCATTAAATTTTCAAAAAATCTTGTCGCTGAAGCGTTAACTGATAATTACCTTCGCCAAAGCATTTGTTTGAGAATGCTGGGATGTCTTTCCATCTATTTTTACTTTTTTGTTTTAAACTCTGTGTCGTCACTGAAGGGAATTATGGCGTGGCAGCTAGCACCATCACTCAGTGAAAAAGAGGAGCGTTTCCCTCGATGTGCCACTGGCTTCAGACATTTTAATTTAAATGCAATGCAGTAAAATTTGATAAATGACAATGTCGCATAATTAAAGTAAGCACGAAAACTGCGAGTAATGCAAGTGGCAAACTTTAGAGCCGAGTTTATTTATGGTTGGATTACTACAGCGAACTTCTGAAACGAGTGCTTATTGTCAATTCATCAACATCACTGCTACCTGCTGTTTGGAAGGTTTGATTTTTAGGAACTACTAAAACTCAATTCAGCTTGATCTGGTTGCAGCCGCGCAAACTGTACTCGTTTGTAGGTCTAGGTGCGAACGGCGAAAGCATATTTTGCACATAAGCGCCATTTTCCGCTTGATGGCACCCATTTAGCAGTTTCCAGCTCATTTTTGCACTGTTCTGGATAATTTTCGATATTACTTTGCATAAATTTTGCAGTCTTTTTTTCAATCTCTCGTTTTTCCCATCCCGCCGGGACAACTTTGTGCTGTTTAAGAGCAGAATATTATCCATTTCAATCTCCAATTTCCATTTCATCCCGCTGCGTACAGTTCTGTCACACAGCCAAAAGTTATTGCTTGCTACATATGCAAGCGTAGATAGGTTACGCCTTTCTATTATGAACTATTTGAATCAACTTCGTATCAGACTTATTTTTTTTTTCTGAATTTTACTACTTAGTTCCAAACACCACTGCGGCCCGTTACACTGTATTTGTGAAAAAACAACAACTCAAACCTGCTTGCAAATGTTTCAAGAGGTTGCTGCACAGCATTCGCATGCTGCACTAATTGTTTGTTGACCGCGTGACCGATTGTGCAGGTGATATCGCTGCTGTTGCCTTCGAAAATGCTTGATCGCTTCACAATTGCCAGAAATTTGCCCGATGATTTGCTGCCGTTTCTGTCAGTGGAGTGTATTCCGGTTGCATATGGTGGGACATATGTGGTGGCAAACGATGCCGCACTAGCGAACACATGCATACCCGCGGAACCGATCACGCCACTGGATTATCAGGTTCTCGCTGCTTGATATTTCTGTTTTTTCACCCAAACATACATGAAAACAAATTTGGTGCGATCCGGAAAAGAAATGTGCACGGTGCAGTGGGGCATCTCGAATGCTCATTTGAGAGCAAAAATTCTTTTGGTCTGGCGTCCAGTTCGGAGGACATAGAAAAATGGTTGAGTAACTCACGGTACTGCTTTTTGAAGCAATCATGTTAATCCTGTGGCTCGAAAAAAAAACCCCCAGCCTTTTGTTTGATTTGTCTCAATTCATTCTCATAACAGTAGTAA